ACAGTTCGCCGACTGAGGAGACAGAAGCGACAGAGCCAAGTCAGTAACCGCGGGTATCTATCGCGTCTTCCATTTCCATCCTCTTCTCATCAGCACCTTTGAAAAAATATTAAAATTCTGCCCATTCACAGCAGGCAAGCAATTTATAGATTTACGAAAATATATGTGTGTACACTGGTCCGCAACAATTTATGATCAGTGCTACAATCAGCTTTACGCAGTACTTTTGTCAAGCGCACTTCTCCTGCGTCACGATACCGTATGCTGACACGGTCGAGCAAGTAAGTGTGACCACTCCGTAGGCAGTTCCTAGTATATACAGGGGTGCCAAAGTAAGTAGGCAGTGAGAAAAAAAGAGAACACGTTCATTATTCACTTTATTTGTTATACAAAAGAATGAATGTTGCATAAACTTGTAATAAGAAGCGCTAATCCTTCAGGTATTCGAACTGAATGCCGGCAGCGTTCACACACTCCTGTAACCGAGAAAGAACACTCAGGCATACTCTAGCACAAATGCTTTTATCCGCATCAATTTCCTGAGAAGCCTGCAACATGAACTGAACCATGTGTTTTCCCCAGTGCGGGGCTTGCGTGCAAAAACCTTATCCCTTACAGTTCCCCAAAATAGAGGCCCATAGGAGTTAAATCTGGCCCTAATTATATGCGCTCAATACCAAGTTCTAGTGAGGTCCTGTATTTCGATTTCTGTGGGCTTGGAACGAATACCGGAGTACCTACGAAGTCATTTTCTTTTGTGGTCACAGTAACTGGTTGACCACTTCTCCGTGCATTGTGCGGACTCCCTGGGCGTTCAAATTCTTACGTGCTCGAAAATTGTTGGCATTGTTGTAGGAGGTGTTGTAAAGGTTTCAATCCACTGTTCGCTTACACGTTTACTATTTTCTGTCTTCCAGTATCGTTTTTTAAGTGCACTTGCGCTGTTCGGCAGTCACATTACCAGCCATGGTTAAACTGCCACTTTAACTGAAAGAATAACATAAAATGAGTAAAAGTGCTCGCATTTTAAAATAGGAAATGGCTAAATGTACATGTCACTAATTTCACTGACGGTCTAATGTATACCTTATTTGGCCCCCCTGCATATCACGCACAACAAGTGTAACCGGTGTGTTCGTGATCGTCAGGCCGTGAGCGATGCACAGTGAGAGCCGCTGGTCACCGTCTCCGTTGGCTGAGCCGGTGCCATCAGACGGATAACGTCTGTCCACACTGCTGCATCACGACCGACTAGCGTGTTGAAATCATCCCGTAGGAATAGCCGGTCACTCCTCAGCACAGACCGTATCACGAAGGACAACTGAGTGTAATCTAATCTATTGTATCATCAGGATAACACATTGTGGAACCATACATGCCCATCAAAAGTAGCAAATCTACCTTTCCTAATTCGCAGGCGCAAAGCCATCAGTGTTGGACTGATGCTAGTCGACTCCACCGCCAGCTAGCCATTTAGGTAGTCGGAGATGGCAAACCCAAACTCATCTGCAAGTAGCGCTGTGGCGTTTCCCACTCAGTATAATGTGTAATCCGCACCCGTTTCATGCTGATGGCTTAAGCCATCTAGCCTAATTTCACTGTGTTCGGCAATGTCGATCTGCAGCGCTCGAATTTCATCGCGTCACGAGGGGGCTTACTCGTATTCCGGTCGAGCAGAGTGCAGACGTTCCTACACCCGCTGTTGTAGGCTTTGCGCGGAAGCATACTATTGCGGTGGTGGACAACCGCGGAAGTAGTGACCTATTTTGGAGGAAGCAGTGTGTCAGTTGAAATGGGGAGAGCGAAGCTATGTACAGAGGGCAGAAGAAAGAAGGTATCAGCGTTAGCATGTTTTCGCTTGTCCACCGCGCTGCTTGCGACAAGTAAGAAGATGGTTTTCCTAAGGCCATGCTCGAGGGCCGATATAGCATGGAATTATCCTTACTAACGTAATGCTTGCTAAGATTTTGGACTGGAATATTACAATGGCATCTACAGCTGATAGGAGGACGACTCAGGTCCTTAGCCAAACCATTCAGTGAAATGCACCCCTGAGAGGCAGCGGGCTGTGCGCAATGAGTCATGAACTGACTCGCGCGGAATTGTGCTTGCTCTGGCTTTTAGCTAGACAAAGCGTGTAACCAACTCAGCGGTGGCGACGAGCAAGCGTCCAGGACGTGAGCATACAACACAGCACTGGCAGCCACGTTCTATGATCTGTCAGGACAACACCACAAGCCTCAGCACGCAACACAATCCCTTGCGTGTTTATAATGAAATATCCATGTATATGCCTCACACTATTGCTGTTACATTTCTGATACTTCCTCACCGCATTTGAGCGAAATCAAATTACACTTAATCTAGGCATTTTAATCTGGAGAAAATTCATTTTGCTTTATTCGGTTTGTTCTATTTTGTTGCTCTGTTGCATAATCTGTGCCAAGTTTGCGTGTTCCCTCTCCCTTAGATTCTACGTTGGTTGTTTGATATCTGCGATGTGGCTGCGTTTGATGCGAACGTCGACACGATTCCTACCTGTCTAACACCTTTCACCTGGATTACTGGCAGCAGGAGAGAGTTATTGGTTACTGGAGGGGACGGGGGTGAACGGTCCTCGTGGTCGTGCTAGGCTAAAGGGTGGTTCCATCCAATGTGGAACGGACTACGGTCCAGCCACCACCTTGTGCAGGTCTGGTATGCATGATTCCCTACATATATAGACCTGAATGCTGCTGCTGTGCGAGTTGAAGAAGTGTGGGCCGGCTCCCTTGATGAAACTTGGCTCCCGTCCACATTCCTCCCGGTCTTATTCCTTCTGGTTTACACTAGATATGGGGTGTGTAAAGGGAGATGAGGGTGGTGCATAGGCAGTCACCCATGGTCCCACTGTAGGCCCAGGTGTCCTATGGCTGTGCTGTGGATGCCACATTGACAAGCAAATCCGGAACCTGATGCTGCCAATCATGTATATATGCGACACGTTTTTACTAACTTCATTTTTCCTTGTAGTATCATGGCTTTGTTAATTCATATTCCAGAACAACCTAGAAACAGGATGCGCTCAAGGCAGCAAACCAATAAGTTTGTAATTCTAGATGCAGAATATAACAAGTTAGTTAAATCCTTATTTTTGTTTTACGTTCGAGAAGCAAAATGAGTTGCTCGAATGTATAGAAATATCACCTGTAAACTAGAGTATAAACTAATCCGATCTTTCTTGGATGCATAAAAACCGATAGGTAAGTTGACTTGACAACAAATTAAACAACTGCTGATGGCAATCAGAAATTCAGGGAGGTCAGCTGAAAAGTTGTACATCTTAAAGTGAGAACCGGAAGTTGTTATCAATGAAGATATCGGATGTCAGTTTTCTTGATGAGGATGGTCAGTAAAATAAAGCAAATCTTGTAATTGAACTCAACGCTTTATAGGTCCAGTAGAATAGTAAGGGCCTTTCACGAGAAAAATCTTAAATTTAAGTGAATAAACGTTAGTCATGCATTGAACATCCTTAGGTTCCAACTTTTAGACAAACAAATTTCGCACAACAGTCATGAATGTTTGGAATGACAGCAATTTCTCGCTTCTTTACACAAAGTCATTCAATTTGAGCTGCTGCCCAAGTCTAAGTTCTGGTGACAGTTGACATGACCATAATTGACTGAAAAAGAACAGGAAACCCTATGTGCTTCAATGAGAATTCGGCGCATTGTGAAATGTTAAACCAAAGCTTGGATTGATTGTTGTATTTGCTAACGACTTATATTTAATATTTGCCCTCAGAGCAACTCAGTCAATTTGAGTACCTCGTGTGGATTGCTGTGAGACTTGTCAACATAAGCCTCAGCGATGTCAAAAGTTATTGGAGTGCATCAATATACGCAATATTAGCTAGTATGATCGGTGATAATTTAAATACATAGGTGATCTAGCGCACACCTCAAATTAGTTAGTTGCTTTAGGATTACGGTTAATAGAGAATCCTACAAAAAGGATTAACTGTTAGCATGTTCCGATAGACGCTTTGCGGGCGACCTCATCAATTTTGTGTCCATCACTCGCAGCAGGCAGGTGGTTGATAAGACTGCATGGAATGACGACATCATAAATCATACTCTGATTTTAAATTTTCATATTTGTAATTAAAGAGCGATTTATTGCTAAGTACAGGATTATTTACATAAAAGGTTTACATATGTTGCACATATACATATATATATATTTGGAGGAGAAAAAATAGCTGGCGTTTTTCACTCAGAAATCTACTCACCAGCATCTTGCCGTGGGCTTAAATTTGCCACTGCATCGATAACCACATGAAATCTGGTATTTCAGATTACGTGATGTCTGTAAATCGCTCCACTAGTTTTGTCTATAGTCCACAGTTTATGTGAAGGGACTTCAGTCAGATTATAAAGTACAGTGTTTTACCTTCAAACAAAGTGGTCACCCCAATTACTGTGCACAAGAAAGCCTTTTAGACCCCACGTTTCTTAGCTAAACACTCGCGTCGGTCACTGATAATGCCGACTTACTGTACACTGCATACTAATGGTTGCAGAGCAAATTGTATGGTCTCTGCGACTCATTGTACTTTACGATGACAAAGTTCACTATTGACGGAGTGTGTAGTATTACGTCGAAGAAGATGATCTGAGAAACACCATACATCGTTGAACCTGGAAGAGAACTCCGATGCGCACTGGTTAGACACTTTAAGGTAAATGAACTCAACAAATCCACGACAACCTAGCTAAACAACAGATTCAAATTAAGATAGTGCACATATGCTCGCTAAACACAAATACGAAACTGTCTTCGATGATGACCGGGTATTTACCTGGCTATGAAACTGCTTAAGGAATTCTGCCAGTCGGTCCACGGCGGTTTGGCCGTAATAATACAAAAATGTTTTCATCCAAAAGTCTAACTGGTACCATCAGCATGGTTATATCAAGGCGCAATTTTACGTACCGCTGTGTAACAGGACAAGCTTTGTGACGAACTCTTTATAGGATATTGAAATAAGACTGCACTACGATCAGGTAAGCATATGAATATGTGAGTATGAAGTTACGTGCAGAACTATACAGTTTTTGAAAATGTAGACCTGCAATGCGTAATGGGTCAGCATGTAGTGTTGGACCAATTATCTTCGCAGTACAAGATAAAAAGTTAATATTATTGTTGTCATGTTTCTTGTCACGCTGTTGAATTGCGAATACCAACATCAGCCCAGTTTTTTCGTCTTCACAAGGTTTTCAGTGTTTACATCGATGCTCAATTATCCGTTCTCGACATATTTTGCAGCGAACTTCACAGCACCTGCGAAAAGAAACAGCTGAAATTACAAATGTGTGTAACTATGATTTAGTGATTCAATCGATAAAAGCATGACAACTATGGGGCGTAGCCACACAGTGCAGTGTGAATAGTTAGTTTAAATGCCCGCAGCTTGCGCTGTTCCGCTAGTGCCCGTATACAACATCCGGTGTTGACAAGTGCGACCAGATTGTTACATTGCGCAAGCCAGAACAATTGATGAGGTCACCACATAGATGCTGGCTTTGGTTCTATGATAAGATTTCTCTTATTATCAAGAATAACCTTACTGTCTTAACAGTGCGAATAACTTTGCTGGATTCTCGCGTTAATGACTGAAGCAGAAGTATAGACGATATACCAGAAATAAGTGCGACGCTTTTGCAATCATATATTGTTCACCTATGTACGCAAACCGATAGTGATCAAATGAGAATAGCGTTAGTTCAGTAATGCAGTCTACGTTGTTGCTGATGAAAAGATTAAAACTAAATTCATTGTTGCACTTTCTCGCTTTCGGAAATGGGTATTTTGTGAGATTTCCTTTCGATGCGGGTGTTAGAATCCTACGAGACAGACAGAATGTAACAAATTCAAGGGGGTGGAAAGAGGTCTCACTACCTTTACAAGGTAGATAAAAGACTACAACAATGTCAAAGCCCTCGTCACTTCCGACAAGTCAATGTAAGGAACTAACCGACTTATTCATTTGGAAACGAGAGACAGCGAAATGCCGGAATGGAGAATGCGGTGCTAACACTTCGCTTTCAAAGGAGATAACAAGGTTCATGTTGCTAGTAGGTCAAAACACACAATCATCGTTTTGTCTACCGGATGCGTGATGGTGTTAGATTGAAGGAGTGGACAAAAGTCAACTTGATGCGGGAATCGAAATCAATGAAGAATAAACTGCCCGCTCTTGATGTGTCTCGCCTTCATAGTGGAGTCCACGCTACCCACGTCTGCACAGCTGGAAATATCACAGGATATGCAAAGTAACCTTCACCTGTTATGCGCTTACTGAAGTCTCCTAATCTAACTGTCTGTTTAAATGTTGTGCGACGTTGAGTTGGCTATGGCGCACAACTTTTTGGGACGCGGATTATTGACCGTCACAAAGACATTGTCTCTCTGATGCTGTCTTATCTTATTACGAAAATTGAACATTTGTGATCGTGATCCTGTATATTTATTCTCGGTATTTAGGCAATACATCAAATCGCATCTTCCCTCTCTTACTATTCGTAAACATGGCTGCACAGCAGCAAACAATCCCTTCAAATTTTTGGCTTGATGCTATTGATGTTTATGTTTATGATGGTTGTGACGATGGTGAACATCGTACTTAATTAAAATTGTCGTTCCATTTATTTTGGTAAGGTTTAGCGCAGGTAGTGCTAGAGGTCAGCAAAAAAAAGCAATCGAATCAGCCGTTAGGAAAATTGTACTCTACCTCACTCTCAGGTTGGCTTGAATAAATTATCAGGCCCTTGGAATAACAATTTGTGTGTTCGAAGCCTTCTAACCAGAACACACGAATGATCCACAATGTTTGCTTTGATCCTGCGGTTCTTTATGGCTCTGACCGTGAACATGTCGTCGATGAGGTATGGCGACAACAACGATTGCAGTTCGGTTTCCGTCTAGGTTCGTTTGTAAAGTTGTAATACAAGTAATGATATTTTCAAGCCTAATAGCTATTATAGCATAAGAAATTCTTTGCTCGTTATACAAAGTTTATGTATTCAGTTTATTTTAGTGAATGACGTGGAAAAATAGGACATCTTGAGCCAAATAAAAGAAAGCTAACTCCATAAACACTAAAACAATAAAAATTGCGAAATTTTTGCTACTTTGCAGCAGTAAATGGAACGTCGCAAGGGTTGTTACAGACGAAAATGAAGACACTGATCCAGGGTAAACTGGGAGGCAGATATTGCGTAAAGAGCTGCAATTTGGGTAGCAATTTATACCATTATATGCTAAATTAGTCGAGTGATCAACCTCTGCGATGTAGGTATCAGGAAATAGGTTAAAGAAAGCAGTAACCTTCAACAGCGTTAAATCCAAGAGACGAAACATAGTATTGCTGTACAATCAACAACAGCTTAACGATCAATGTTGTCACCGACAATGATGTGTCTAATCCCGAGTACTTCCGCCTCTAGAAACACGGCAAGCGGTAGCGTAATCGGGTCGCTCAGTTAATTTTTCAGTACTTTCTTTCCAGTCCAAGACTGGCTGTATCGCAGTTTCGTCCAACTAGGTATAACCATGGCAAATGATGGGTAGTGAGATACATAATGAGCGCTCATGTGAGGGATATCATCTACCATTCGGTTGAAATGCATTGTGTACTCCAATGTGGCATACCATGGCGCCACTCGCGTTACGAACTAGCAGGTAGAAGTTGTGGCTACTGAACGGTCCTTTTGATTTGGACAACTATACCTGAGAATCGACGAAAGCACGATCATTTTCTTATTGAATGCAGTATACAACAATCTGGTCTGCGATGCACGCATGAATACTGATGTTGTCACAGCGTTCTGCATGGCATTGACTGCCAGACTAAAACCCAACCATCTGTATACATTATCGAAACTTTCGAAAATTGGGCGAGGTTCACTGATTTGCATTACGGTCCCATCGCTTAAGTGATTTATAAGTTTGACTGAACTGTTTGGAAAAGTGAATCTAACAATTATTTCCAATGGATGATTGGTCATAAAAAGAATTAGCGGCGTTGTGATCATGTCGCGCAAAAATGCTTTCTATTCTGATGGCGTTAAGTACATATCGAAACCTGATACTGTACGACTGTCAATTTAGCTACGGTTATATTTCGGGTGTCTTAACTAGGAAGGCTACAATATCCCCATCTGCTAGGTTCGGCATCCGGTAGCCCGGCCAAAACGGTACTCAAAAGAAGTCCAAGAAGCAGTTATCTTTACCCACTCCCATCAAACTTTGTGGAACAACGTTAAATGTTACACGCACTTGCCTAGTGCAAACGAAACCTAGTGCGTTGGCTGTGTTGACGTGTCATAAAGTCTGCAACCCATAGACGTCGGCATACGAAAAGCATTTCTTCGTTAACACGCTGTAGGGCAAACGTGCGATTAACGCTTCCTCAGTTTGTGAAGATCCATTTGAATTTCGTTGATTCGGTACACATGTGAGCCAGTGATTCACAGTACGATGCTGCCTTCGAGTAGCTTGAATGCATTTGCAACTAGGTTAATGCCTCGTCCTTTACACTGTACAAAGTTTTGTGGCCTTTGCATAGAATCAAGTGTGCTAATAGCCATAAGACTGAAGGAACCTCTCTAGGGCTCCACAGCAGATTGTCTGTGGCGGTTTTACAGGGAACTAATGTTACGCAGTGTGCCGGCAAAAGTTGAGGGTTTGTCGAATTCAGACACATTAGTTAGCAATGAACGCGTAGTTTCAAACCAAATACGATAGCAGGAGGTGACAGAATAACGTCCAAAGCAAGTGGGATTGGGTCATTAACCCGTCATAACAGCAGACCTAGTGCGGTCCATAATTTGGCGGCGGTTCGGTTTCAATGACTCACGTTTTCCTTTCATTTTGTGGTACTAACTCCGGTTCACTGATTCTTGTTTACGACGATGTCTCATCCCCCGTGGTAGGCTGAGCGATTTCCGAATCGTTCAACCAGTTCATGCAATGCCCACCAACTAGCTGACTCATCGATGCAATAGTGAGCAGTTCTCAGTGGCTTTCATGCCGCCGTTCTGCTTACCTGTCCCATCAGCCTCGTTAACAAACCACACTCCAGCACAGACCATTTTGAACGTGCAGCGAACTAATGACGTGCCTTGCAAAAAACAATGATCCTATTCACTTCGGTCATTAGAGTCTGGAAACTTTGGTTGAATGGCCCAAATCAGTTATTCGTAAGCAAAGGCTTCTAGTTAGGAAGGCTGGCGAACTGCCGATCACAAGTGGAAAATAGCACAGGAATGGCCGAACTGGAAGAAAAGAGACCTATAGATTTTCCTGTTCTAAGTGGTAGTAACCGGAAGCATCAATAACCATATTTTGAACAATTAGTAAATGATTACTGCCCCAGCTCAGAGTAGGTAACTTAGTTGGAACATGGGTAATCAATTAGCATTTTGAAATGAGATAGTATCTTTGGGTCATCTGAAAAGAACAAATCATTAGACAACTGCTGATGCTTTGCATCATGGTTACAAGTAGGCTTATATTGTCGATATTCTGGAATTCAGCATTTTAGACAAGTTTGTGGAAAACGGATAGTTTATTTACCGAGTGACGTTTCGCTTCTGACACCAAATCCTCTTCAGGTCAAGCGAGCAAAGTTATGCAAAATCCAAAATTAAGGTCAGTCAGCGGGCCATTACAGATGTGTTTCTATGTTACATGTTAAGTAGTTCTTGAAGATGGAAATGGTCAAATGACTGATGGAAAATCGTATTGTTTGCTAAACTCATGGTGATCAGATTGCATTTCACGGTCAGGACTCATTCACCGACGCACGCAAACTGGTATGGTAAACTTGGACGCCATTCTCCTGACAATCCAACTCCACTATTTTCCTCACGCAGTTGCTGGCTTTGGCGATTTTCAGCATCTAAGCAACTAGCCTTTTGTTATGTAAGGAAGACGTAAGAAATAAAACAGAAGAGTGCTAAACGAAGGAGATATACTGTTCTTAGCTTCAACCGCAAGTAACTTGCCGATTGTATCAGTAGTCCCTTCAAAATTCTAAATAACCTTCTTCATCCACTACCTTGAGACCTATCTGAAACACTAGCTAGTTCCTCCACCTCTTCCCATTTAATGTCCTATTTTCCCGTGTTGCATCTTACCGCAATTCTGTTCTACCGTGATTATCCGCTTGCTTTTTGACCCCACCAAAACTATCAGTATAAGGTAAAATTATAGATATTTTATTTTAACGGTAATTTCATATACTTTAGCATTCGCAATGATAGCGTGACGTGTTGAAA